CTGCGCTTCTGCCTGGAAGATGGTCTCGTCGGGCTGGTTGGCGTGCTGCATGGCGATGGCGTGGGGGAACTCGGTCAGCATCCTCTGCTGGAAGGCCTCCAGCCTCTCGTAGTCGTGCCCTCGACACACGAACTCCTTGTTCTGGGCGTGGAAAAACAGCAGTCAAAATCAGAACTATGTAACGGTGCATTCATTACAGAGAGAAGCCACAGGCTATGACAATGGCAGCTGCTGACTACAAGGCCACATCAGCCCACGGTAACAGCCACAGCATATCCTGAAAGAGGAGCCCAGATGTTCAAACTGCGGGGCAAAGGTCACGAACCTCACTCTTTATTACTTCTAAGAAGAACAGAGAGGTCTCTCTTCCTAGCACGCTTGCGCATGGTGCAGAGGAGTCTGATTCTCAGGGCACCAAAATACAAAAACAAAGCAGCAGCGCTGCCTCTCAGCGTCAATCAGCACGTGTGTTCCAGACGATTTTTATAAGCTGGATATTAAACTCATGCAGATAAATTCGCTATTTAGAAGAAAAGGAATTAACTGCAACAACTACAACTGCATTTCCACGGGAATGCATTCTTCTCGAAAGCCTCTGAGATCAGCCTCCACTTGTCCCAGGCCTGGCGTGAAAGGCAGGCTGAGCCCACCTGTGCTCCGGCTCTCAGACGCCTCCCTGCTACAGAGAGCTCGGCGTGCCCTGGGCAGGAATCCTCCTAGCTGGCTGAAGCCAAGACTCAGGCGTTTTAGGGCCTTGGTAATGTTGGATGTATTCTTGACCTTGTTTTGTTTTACAATATAGTAAATATCTGTGGGTCAGGCGTGTCTGCTGAGGGGCGTTACTGAGGCCAGAGAGCTGGAAAGATGGGCAGGTTTTCAGAAAGTACCTTAACCACCTGGTCAGACGGGAGCGAGGCCTGTCAGATAGCTTAGTGCTCCTGGCATGGTAGCCGGTGAGCGCGGACACTGACGAGGCAGTCTGCACTGAGTTCATTTAACCTGTACCAGCTTGAGGGAGTCGCCCACCCCGACTCTATTTCTTACTTAGGGAACTGAGGCTCGAAGACTCTCAGCACTCTGTCCTATGCACCAGATGTGAATCAGGACCCAGCCTGGGCTCTGGCTGCTCTCTACACAGCCTGGCATATTCAAGAAAAACTGCTGGGAGCAATGAAGACCATAAAAGGCTGTCAGAGCCCATGCTTCAAAGGTCTTCAGGGAAAGGGGAGATCAGTGGGTAGTGACAGGGAGCTAAGGCCCAAGGGTTTCTCTAGCTCTTTGAGGTTTTGACTGTTGCATAAAATGCCCAAAGGAAGAACTCCAGGCCCCAGTGAGAGAGTCAGAAACCATTTGCTGCAGACGATCGGAAAAACAACTTGCTCTGAGACCTACCTCAGTTTCCCTCAAGTCCCTAGAGAAATTGCGATCCGCTGAAAATATATGTTAAAATAGACGCTAAGAAATCAGGAAATCGATACAAATCTATAGAAAACAACTCTATATTTAACACTTTCTAGATGAAAGTTTACCTTCTGACACAGAAAATTTGTGTCCTACATGCTGCATTTAAAAAGTTCACCTCGAAAGTCAGTATATTTTCTTGATAAAATAAAAGACAATACATGCATTTCTATGTATCATAATAATCCTGCCAGGTGTAGTGGTGCTTGCCTGTAATCCCAGCATTTGGGAGGCTGAGGCAGGAGGAAACCAGCTTGGGCTACATAGTGAGTTTAAAGCCAGCCTGAAATACTGAGCAAGACCGTCTGAAACAAAAACAAAAACAGAAACCGAAACAAAAAACAAAAACAAAGCCGGGCATGGTGCGCACACCTATAGTCCCAGCAGTTGGGAGGCTGAGGCAGGAGGATCAGCATGAGTTCCAGGCCATCCTGGGCTACATAGTGAGTTCAAGGGCACTCTGAACTACATAGTGAGGCTTGGTCTCAGAAAAAAAAAAAAAAAAAAAAGAATCAAAACCCAAAACAAAAGCCAGAAGAGTATACACTCATATCATAGTAGTTCTAAAATAAATATCTGAATATCTCAATAACTGAAATAGTTTAAAATAATATTTACATATATAACAGCTTATGAAATCAGAAGAGTCACTCTAAGCACATTCAATGATATTAGTGAGCTATTTGGAAATAAATTATAGTGTTGGCTATGATATTTGATTTTCCATAAAAAAAGAAAAATGAAGTATTTCCCTCTATCAATATTTTGTTTTTAAAAGTCACAGCTTTAATGAGATAAAATTCACCCTTTTAAAATGTGCATTCACGCCAGGCGTGGTGGCACAGACTTGTACGCCCAGCTAGTTGGGAGGCTGAGGTAGGAGGATCACAAGTATGAGCCTGGCCTGGGCAACTGAGCTTAGTGAGAACCTGTTTCAAAATAAAAAAAGGTACTGGGCATACAGCTCTGTCTGAAAGCTCTTGATTCAGTCCCCAGTATGGCAAACCACAAACAAAAACAAAAGTGGTTTTTAGAATATTCAGAGTTGTTCAATCATCAACCCAATATAGTTTCAGAATACTTTTCACAATTTCATAAAGAAACTTTGTGCCTTTTAGCAAGTATTTCCTATTACCATTTATTTCCCTTGGGTCTTGGCAACCCCAAACTACTTTCTGTTTCTGTGGATTTAGACATTATGGAATGATACAATGTACCCTTTGTGACTGGCTTCTTTCACTTATAATA